GCAACATACATGGCATGACATGCGGTGTATGTGTTATAAGCTAAACCGCATATCTGAATGATATATAGGCGCACAGACAATTGGGTACATCCGATTCCTATTGAAATATGCAAATTTGGTTGATTATCTTGGAGCGTTTGATGCTAAACCGCTCTGATCCTGTTTAGATTTTATATTATACCATATCGTATGCGCGATTGGCGAACCAGTTTCGAAATGGTATCCTGGAAAGGATATTATTCTACCGTACGGAGCTAAAAGATACATTGTATTGTGTATGAGAGAGCCAGATTTACTCTCATTTTCTGCTGCTAAATCTGTAGCTATGGCAGCAGAGAATAACTAAACGGTGAACTTTTCAGAGCAGTTCCTAAATTCATTTCTGCTTAGAATGACCCCAGAAACCAGACAAGTTTTTTCCCCAGCTAAATATAATTTTTTGTATGACGCTCAAAAACAAGTTGAACCGGCAACCTCTTGACTAATGTAAACGGGAATCCTACAAAAGTCATTATGAAAAAAAATTCTGCCACGATTGCGAGATTTTTACCGCGCCTTATATCCCAGCACCTCATCTGTTCGAAAATTAACACTAGGTAACGTGAAGTTTTTGATCGCTATATTTGGATCAAATGATTACAGCTGACAAGCAAATTTATGTTAATGTTAATGTTTTAAGTAAATTTTCTTTTGAAACTATAGGTATACCATATTATAACGCCGTCATAAACCAGAGCGCAGTAAGTTTAAAAAATGCGAAAATCAGATATCATCGTTATGTGTGTAATATGAAAAGCACGTAGAACAAGCATATTGTGATGATAAAAAACAGTGTGATGTCATGATAAATACAGAAAATCTAAAATAATTCTTTTATAGTTTCTGGTATTCGTACGATCATCTCAAAGAAGAATACAGTATCTGCTCAACAATAAATCATAGTAAATGACTCGTACTTAACTCCATTCGTGCTTAGAAACTATAACGATATTGTGTTTTAATATACAACATACTAGAATCACTTAATCACAGCTAATTCATAATATTTTTCCGACTTTTCGTCGGTCGTTTAGTGTATTTATGAGGATACTGTAAAATTTTCTTGTATGTTTCATATACTAAATATTGTATACGCCGAGTGTGCGATAAAAAACAGGAGGTAGTACTTACTGTGTTATTAATTAAGAAAAAAAATGCAGGTAACAGTATATGCTGAGGTATTCTGAGGTAGCTGTATAAGCTGTTTTGTTTATAGATAGGCATCCTCGGTAAAACTAACGAATTCGTTAGAAAGTATTATCAATTTTACAGGGGTTCAAGTCAAAAGCATTCTTGTTCCTTAAAACGTTACAATTTAAGAAGTGCTATATAATGTGAAATTAGCAGATACTATGGTCCAAATATAATCATGAAGAATGACCAAACACTAAACTATCGCGAATATATTTTCCAATTCAACTATCCCAACCACTGTCGCCGATGACCGCGATCTTAGCGAAAGTTCTTGGTAATGTAATTCCCGTTCGCTGTAGTTTTCTCAACAGTCATCAGGGCTATTCCTGGGAGGTGGTTCAAGGTATAAACAATTTTAGTATTTCAGTTAAGTCGCGGTACTCCCGTGTTACCACATCTGGGAAAATCCAAGGTTCACAACGTCAACCTGTCCTACACTTATAAATTCTTCCGCCACAATTTGGCAACTTTGCACTACTATTTGTGAGTTTTATTATCATTATGATCGAAAAATGTCCTTAGTAGCTATTCTCTGAAGCTGAATTTTCTCGAGTTATGAGCGATATAATGCATGACAATGCCTAAAAATGGCTATTTCCCACGTTTAAAGGCTCTGTTGAAAATTGTATTTTTGAGGTTACCGAACGTCTAAATTAAAACACAAACGTCAGTCTAGAAGACCACTATAAGAGCCCTAGTGTTAATTTATTTTACAAACATTTTTAACTCAGCTTGGTAGACCAGGAAAACGACCCATTGATTTACGCAGACTGTTCTACGTTATACCGGGTGTTCCGGAATGTTTGGGTGCACAATTCGCATAAAACATAGAGACTACTTCTTGAAAAATAACTTTTAAGTAACACCGCATAATTTCACACTATACTAAATAATTGAGCCCCAAATGACCAGATATATACTAGCCTCAAGAATTCCACTATCTGAACATCCTGAAAAACTATATTTCTGTCCGATTCATTAAAATGAAAAAATGTCTTTACTGACATCGACAACGACATCGACAGAAGTAGATCACTTAATCACAGCTAATTCATAATATTTTTCCGACTTTTCGTCGGTCGTTTAGTGTATTTATGAGGATACTGTAAAATTTTCTTGTATGTTTCATATACTAAATATTGTATACGCCGAGTGTGCGATAAAAAACAGGAGGTAGTACTTACTGTGTTATTAATTAAGAAAAAAATGCAGGTAACAGTATATGCTGAGGTATTCTGAGGTAGCTGTATAAGCTGTTTTGTTTATAGATAGGCATCCTCGGTAAAACTAACGAATTCGTTAGAAAGTATTATCAATTTTACAGGGGTTCAAGTCAAAAGCATTCTTGTTCCTTAAAACGTTACAATTTAAGAAGTGCTATATAATGTGAAATTAGCAGATACTATGGTCCAAATATAATCATGAAGAATGACCAAACACTAAACTATCGCGAATATATTTTCCAATTCAACTATCCCAACCACTGTCGCCGATGACCGCGATCTTAGCGAAAGTTCTTTGTAATGTAATTCCCGTTCGCTGTAGTTTTCTCAACAGTCATCAGGGCTATTCCTGGGAGGTGGTTCAAGGTATAAGCAATTTTAGTATTTCAGTTAAGTCGCGGTACTCCCGTGTTACCACATCTGGGAAAATCCAAGGTTCACAACGTCAACCTGTCCTACACTTATAAATTCTTCCGCCACAATTTGGCAACTTTGCACTACTATTTGTGAGTTTTATTATCATTATGATCGAAAAATGTCCTTAGTAGCTATTCTCTGAAGCTGAATTTTCTCGAGTTATGAGCGACATAATGCATGAAAATGCCTAAAAATGGCTATTTCCCACGTTTAAAGGCTGTGTTGAAAACTTTATTTTTGAGGTTAGCGAACGTCTAAATTAAAACACAAACGTCAGTCTAGAAGACCACTATAAGAGCCCTAGTGTTAATTTATTTTACAAACATTTTTAACTCAGCTTGGTAGACCAGGAAAACGACCCATTGATTTACGCAGACTGTTCTACGTTATACGGGGTGTTCCGGAATGTTTGGGTGCACAATTCGCATAAAACATAGAGACTACTTCTTGAAAAATAACTTTTAAGTAACACCGCATAATTTCACACTATACTAAATAATTGAGCCCCAAATGACCAGATATATACTAGCCTCAAGAATTCCACTATCTGAACATCCTGAAAAACTATATTTCTGTCCGATTCATTAAAATGTAAAAATGTCTTTACTGACATCGACAACGACATCGACAGAATCAGCGGTTTTATCGACTATAATACTTGATCCAATATACTGACTCTATAATTTTCGAAATGTGGTAATTCTGATAAAAGGTTCGAAATCAGCGGCTAGAGAATCCCAAGGATATAAATTCTTGAGTCAATCAACTTTTGGAGGTGGCAAAATGTTGAAACGGAACTGTTTTTCTCAAAAAATTTCCCATACCATCGAAATCCAACAAAATATATTTCTTCTAGCTAAAACATTTTTGAAAAACATCATTTTTGAGCCAGTACTATTCGAGATGCAAAATATTGCAATATTGCGATAGGCCCAATGCGTTCCTGGCACACTAAATGGAGTGTTGATCAAAAATTATTTAGAGAAAGCGGATTGTCAGCTGCGCCAGGGGGTTAGTGTTTGTATTTCTCCTTTTGTAGGTACGTACATGTAATACATAGAACCAGAAGTGATGTAATTCTAAAAGCAGAAAAAAATAACCTGCTTTCGGGTTTTGCATGGGTAGGATAGAACATTAAGTTTATATGTGTGAAAGTTACAAACCCCACCTAGAAACGTTTCTACTGCAAGATAACAGAAAAGTGAAAATAAATCTTTCAGGTAGGATTATTCTGCTATACAATTTTTTGCCATATTCATGTGCATTTCGCAATGCGCGCCTTAAATGCTATAATACAATCTTATCGAAACGCTTTGTGACCTGAGTGCGTATGATTAAAACGTAATCTCAGGAAATATATATTTTTTTTTTCAAAGATACTTCTTATCACATACCTACTACATAATATTTTAATCTTTGAAAGGACCATCATGTTCCACTTTCATTTTAATCCGTTTGCTTTTGAGATGTAAGCAGTTTGGATTTGATCAATTATCTACAGTTTTCCTCCAGTTACTATTTTGTACTATTTTGCTAACTTATTGAATGACGTCAGCTTGATACCAGCAGCTCTGCAATAAAAAGCTATACAACTTTCGTACAAAGCTCACTTTGATAAATGAGATAAAAAGCAGCTTTTAACATCTTTGATCACCTTTAGAAAAATCGCAAGAAGTAAGCCGTATCATTTTAATGTATTTGAACAACCGTATGTAGTCGCTTCCGTCCCATAATTTTGGCATAAATGTCAGTCGGAATAATATCCGAAATAACAAATGTTTAACACTTGGTTATTTTACATTGTTTTTGATACTGTCTGAGGAGGCAAGGGCTTGATGAAATGTGGGAGTTGAAGACTGGGTGTTTTGATCATCATTCACCTGTGTTAGTTAGGGCCTTTAGAATGTGAAAAGGACTGTATTAAAGTTGATACCGGGTGTTTTTTGCCAATGAGGTTATCGTTAATTTTGTGTTGTCTAATATTTATGTCGATAAATACCTGCACTTATGATCGGCGTGATTTCCACTTTATATTGCGTTTAGATATCAACTCTATTTCAAGCACCAATGTTATTGATTAGATTATATTGGCGATATAACAATTTAATCTATCAGGTAAGTTTAAAGCTATCAAAACGCACACCAGTTCAGTTTATCGGGAAGGCAGAAAATGCTAGCTAGAATTTTGTTGGTTGCAGCGGCACTGACGGTGCTGCATGCAGAGGTAGTGCGTGTGAGGAGTTCAGGAAGGGATGTTTTGATTCAAACTGATGAGAAGAAGAAAGATTGGTGGCAAACTGCGACATTCTATCAGATCTACCCCAAATCATTCAAAGACAGCGACGGGGATGGTATTGGAGACTTGCAAGGGATACGCCAGAAGCTTGACTATATCCAGAGCCTGGGTGTTAGCGCTATTTGGCTGTCGCCTATCTACAAGTCACCTTTAAAAGATGGAGGGTATGACATCAGCGATTTCAGGGATGTTCATCCTCAGTTTGGAACTTTGGCAGATTTTAAGGAGCTGTTGGAGGACGCTCATCAGAGAGGTATCAAGGTGCGTTTCAAGTTGTTGACAAAAGTATGACAATTAGAGAATATCAATGCTAGAGGTGCAATTCAAAGTATCATTGAAAATAATACGCGCAGTGTATATTGAATGAATGAATATATCCATCGTTAAAAGTTGGTGTTTCTGACCCCCGGCGTGAAATTACATACCATGGGGTAGGATCGGTTTTTACGCCAAAGATACATACAAAAAACTTCTAGAGTAAGTAAATCTGTAAATAACTGTATCGCAAGGCGAATTTTATGATAGCCAGCGCTTAAGCTTCTTTGTCGCCTTGACGCTGCTTAATAACATTTGAAGGTAAAGAGTTAACAAACATATTAATTTATTTAGAGGTTCCCTGGCAAAACTAAAAGAGCCGTTCAGGTAAACGTTACATCACTATCTGTATATATATACCATTTTATTTTATACCCCAAATTCATTAAAAATCACAAATGTATGCCGATAAACTCTTCTATTGCAATAATTGTGTCTTTACTATACGATTTTTAACGGTAATAGCCAGTTAATCCTCAGTTGGTCACGTAGGCAGACGTAAAAGAATATGCAAAAATATTAAAAACGCTTTGCTGACGTAATACTTCCCTCCATTATGAGGAGGAAAGTGCACAATTAGTTCCGGTTCAGTGCTGACTAATTCAATAATTCAATGTTTCAGTTCACCCGAAACTGATTGAGGTTGTGTCAAATATTAGCTAATACCATCTATGAAAAATTCTTATATTTTTGCCGCCTAATGTATTAGTGCTATTATTTTTATTACCAAGTTTCTGTTTCTATAGTAAAGCACCGATCATTTCAAGGTTATACTGGACTTCGTACCGAACCATACAAGTGACCAACATGTTTGGTTTCAATTATCAGCAAACAGAGTCGCAGGATATGAAGACTATTACATCTGGGCAGATCCAAAAGGGAGTGGTGCAGTACAGGTCGTACCTAACAATTGGGTATGTATCTTCAGAACACACATGGTGCCAGTGAGTTTTAATAGTTTGAACCTAGCTTTACTACCTTTAGTTCATATAGCCTTTTTAGCCCTACTGAGCGAGGGCCGTGGCAAATGCTTGTTCCGGAAGTTGTTGTATCCAGTATACAACTTCTTCCCGTCCAAGTGATTGTGCACGCGTTAAGTCGCGTACACATCTGGCCAACGCATGTGGCCGAAGCCTTTCGACCGAACGCCGTCGGTAAATGTGTACGACCTAACAAACGCATGTGTTTGCCTTCGCGAGAGTTCGGTCACTGGGCGGTACATCAAAAGAAAATTGAAGAACGAATTCGTTTGGCTGCGTTTAGTGTGTACGCTTTTCAGTTTTTAAGTGTCTCATCGTGGTCATTTTGTTTTGAGTTTCTATTTAGCGATAATGGAGTGGACTAATTCCTCTTGTTTAAAACTTATTGGTTTATATCGAGAACGGGAAGTTTTATGGAATCCAGTGCATAATGATTACAAAAATAAAATAAAGAAAATGGATGCCTGGAACGACATCAGCAAAACTATGAAAGGCGATACAGGGGAGGTCAAAAAGAAAATGGAATCTTTATTAACATCATTCCGACGTGAGAGACAAAAACAAGATAGCTCGTTTAAAACTGGCTCAGGAACCGACACAATTTTTAAATCTAGATGGTTCGCTTTCAAAGAAATGCTTTTCTTGATGGACAAGTTTATACCAAAAAACACTAAACTTTCTACAAAAATTTACAAAAAGTCCGTATTCCATTTCAGCTTTTAGATCACTAATTAAGTCCATCCCTCTATACCGACTTCTGCTTTTGAACAATGATGTCCACCAGCGCCGTTTTCGTCGTTTCTTGGGGGCTCTTTCAATGCTTCGGTCTCCGCCTCACTAATAATAATATACAACGCACTTGCAATAATTATATCCTCATCATCGGACGCCATTTTTTACCATTTACAAAAATACCCGCGAACCTCGACGAATGACTGCAAACGAATTCGTTCACCGTAATGTGGACGGCAGAGCAAATTTTCCATCGAACGTCGAAATCATCGAATGAATTCGATCGAAGAGCTTCGGCCACATGCGTTCGCCAGATGTGTACGCGCCTTAAAGGAATACCTCAGTACCGATTGCCGGGTGGCGGTACAAGTCCGCCAACGGGCCACTTTAGGTCTATTTAACATCACTAACACGTAAAAAGAAGGTGGTAGACAAGGACCAGTCGACCGAGGCAGTACCACCCGCTAGCTTTTCCCAGGGTGTCTTATAAATGTCCGCATGTGTCCACACCTTAGCTATGCAGTTGGTTATCTACCAAAACAAAGAAATTAATGACGATGGATCCCTCGAGCACTAAGAACTCCGGACGTAAACTCACTTCACTCTCGGAATGTCCGGGTGGAGGGTGGGCTCGAGGGAACAACATCGAAGATAAAATTTGTTTTTCGAACATCTGCGGGATCAACAGCAACATTGATGCTGTTCATCACTACCTGCAATCCAATCGTCCCGCCGTGCTTTTCTTGGCGGAGACAAAAATCTCAGAGACTGCACCGATTAATCATCTCAACTTCCCAAACTACGAGGTGCACTCCAATCTGAGAAAGAACGGGAGAGTTGTGACTTTTGTCCGCAGCAGTCTTTCCTGCTCCAGGGATCTTTCTTTGGAATCAGACCGGAAGGACATTCTGTGGCTTCGCCTCAACTCCAAAACATCACCCAAATTTATTTGCTGCCTTTATCGCCCTCCCTCGAACCATAACTGGGATGACCTACTCGAATACCTCACCGTCCAGATCGACTTCCTGAACATCAATCACCCCGCTTCAGAGGTAGTTCTTCTCGGTGATTTCAATGCCCATAATGAGCTTTGGTTGGGCTCAGATAAGACCGATGCAGCAGGTCGTGCAGTCGCGTTCGCTCTTACTCAAGGGCTGACCCAGCTGGTGACGAGCCCTACTTTTTTCCCCCGCGTCTCGTCACACGCCAGTAGCTTGCTGGATCTCTTTCTGACCACGCATCCTGCCCCTTACAGCACTGCTGTCCTGTCCCCCCTGGGTAACTCAGATCACGGTGTTGTGGAGGTTAGGTTTCGGTCAGAAGCCGCCGTGGCAGCAGAAACTCGCACAGGCCGCAAAACTTGGCATTATGGACATGCCGACTGGGAGGGGCTCAGAGACTTCTTCTCTAGCTTTCCTTGGAGAGATGTCTGTTTCACTGACGCGTATGCGTCGACTGTTTGTTCTTCAATAACCGAAATTATCCACGTCGGAATGGAGGAATACATCCCTCACACAGTGAAAGTTCCTAAACCAGGGTCCAACGGCTGGTTCAACAAATCGTGTGACACTGCTCGCCAGCAGAAGATCAAGGCCCACAGAACCTACTTACAAAACCCCACTGTAGAGAACAGACAAGCCAACGTCGAGTCCAGAAACAAATATAACGACGCGGTTCGCAATGCCAAAAACCAGCATGATATAAAAGTTAGGCAGAGGGTAATGTCGCAGCGCAATGGCAGTCGGTCTTTTTGGACGCTGGCCAAGCAGATTGAAAAGAACTTCTCACACAGTAGCCTTCCACCACTTACGTGTCAGGATGGAACTATTGTATTCGACTCAAAGGCCAAGGCGGAAGTGCTAGCCAAGATTTTTGCTGCCAACTCCACCATGGAGGTCCCCACCAACGCCCAAGTGCCGTCAATCCAAAGGGTTCCCCACACTATGCGGGAGGTAAAATTCAGGCATAAGACCGTAAGACGAGTGCTCTTGTCGCTCGACATCAACAAATCTTCTGGTCCGGACTTGATTCCTGTCATTGTACTGAATAGATGTGCAGCGGAGCTTGCTCCAGTTCTTTCGCGTCTCTTCCAGATATCTTATGAATCCGGCACCTTCCCAGAAAACTGGAAATTTGCTCGTGTACAGCCCATCCCAAAAAAAGGATCTAAGACCGACCCTTACAACTACAGGCCTATAGCTCTGCTTTCTGTTATAAGTAGAGTGATCGAGAGGTGCATAAATCGCGAGCTTCTGGACTACCTCGAACGTCACAGCTTGATTAGCGACAGGCAGTACGGTTTCCGGCAAGAACGATCCACAGGGGACCTCCAGCTTACGTCACGCAACTGTGGAGTAAACTCATCCAGTCTCATGGTGAGGCTCATGTCGTTGCTCTTGATATCACGAAAGCGTTCGATCAGCTGTAGCACGCTGCCCTCTTAAGCAAATTTCCATCCTACGGCCTCCCAGAAAAGCTTTGCAGATGGGTGGCTGACTTTATTTCTGGCCGCAAGATATCCGTCGTAATTGACGGATTCTCCTCTTCATCCCACAACGTCAACGCGGGTTTTCCCCAGGGATCGGTCTTGGCTCCAACACTGTTTCTCTTACATATCAACAACCTCCTTTCCTGCACGATCAACCTAATCCACAGCTTCGCTGATGACAGCACTCTACATGCAGGAATTCAGAGTGACAAGCCGATCTCTGCCGCTGAGCTGGAAAAAAGAAGACTAGCGACGACTTCTTCTCTGACAAGAGACCTGGAGGCTATCACTGCTTGGGGACGCAACAATCTTGTACAGTTCAATGCTTCCAAAACACAGTACTGTACTTTGACGAACAAAAAGCGTCCTAGCGCTCATACAGTTTCGATGGACGGTCGAATTCTACCAAAGAGCCATTCTTTTCGGTCCAGATCACCGAGGACCTGATCTGGCATGAACACATCTCTTCAATAGCTGCAGCTGCTGGGAAAAAGCTAGGCTATTTGTTTAGGGCTAAGAAGTACTTTTCTCCGCATGACCTTCTCACTCTATACAAGGCCCAGATAAGGCCTAGCCTCGAGTATTGCTCACACATTTGGGGTGCTGCCGCCCCGACTACATTGTCCATGCTCGATGCTGTCCAGAGGAGGGCGGTCCGACTGATCGATGACTCTTCTCTAACAGGCAGTCTCGGGACTCTTTCGCACCGGTGGGTCGTCGGCGATCTAGCTCTTTTCTATCGCTACACCAACGAGCTTTGCTCCTCAGAGCTCTCTTCTATGATGCCGCCGCGCGATGTGCCTGCCAGATAGACCCGCCTGACTTCGGCGTCCCATCCTAACCGTGTCAAACTTCGTACATCCAGAACTGGCCGATGCGACCGCTCCTTTGTCCCGAGGGTGTCTAGATTGTGGAACAATCTACGGGAGGAAGCTTTTCCCAGTTCTACTAATCTTAGGCAGTTCAAAAATCGTATTAATAAAATTTCTTTGGGATCATCATAGCAGCCGCGGTGTTCCGGCATTTAGGCTTCTGCCTGCGCGGCTGTTTCGATATAAAAAAAAACTATTTCATCTGGGCAGATCCAAAAGGGAGTGGTGCAGTACAGGTCGTGCCTAACAATTGGGTATGTATCTTCAGAACACACATGGTGCCAGTGAGTTTTAATAGGTTGAACCTTTACTACCTTTAGTTCATATAGCCTTCACAAAAAAAAACGGCCGACAAAGCTAAGTTGCCAGCTTAGTCTTTCCAAAATTTTGGTGCACTTGGTATAACTCTTCAGCTTCCACTTCTTTATATTGTCACTAAGAATAACCTTTAAGTTATGCGGAAACGGAATTTATTTCTTCGCGAACAGAAAGTAAACGCTGCAGCTGTTGCATGCAGTTTCCTTAAGTATGTGATACCGATACCGTTACCCATATTTACTCACTAATAAACAAAGACAACCAAGGCTTCACAAGGTAGCGCTTAGTAACGACAAGTAAAAGGTCCTTGATGAAGAGTTTGTAAGCAACACCTTCGGGCTTTATGTGGACATTGACCCATAAATGATGACTCATAAAGCTTTCAATCCCCTAACATACTTCAAGTACAACCAAAACATTCCAAAGCTCCTTTGTTAAAATAAGCTTGACTTTTTCAATACCAGGTCTCAAAAATATTGGCGACTGACACCCTCAAATAAATTAAAAGCACTAAAAATATAAACCTCTCAAATTTTCAAATTGGGACGACAGTAAAAGGTGAATCGCATCCCTGAAGCTGGTTCAGTTATCAGTAGATTGCTTGCGAAGTAGTACAGTGTTGGTACTATGGGGTGGGCAAAAAGGGTCAAAATTGCTAGGCTTCGCCTCCTCACTGCTACCAGTACTATCACTATCACAAGCTTTGTCCATGTCATTTTGAAATCGCCTTATGTGATAATGCCAATTTGATATTTTCAGCTCAGTGTATTCAAAGGTTCTGCATGGACGTTTCATCCAGTTAGGCAGCAATTCTATTACCACCAATTCTTGAAAGAGCAGCCAGATCTGAATTTCAGAAACGATAGGGTGAGACAAGAAATGAAAGTAAGTAGTAGGCTGGCAACGTACTTTTAGTTAATATCAGCGATCGCCTTTCTGAGTTCTCAACTAAGGACCATAATCATTACAAACAGTATTATAGATTGCCAGAGGACTTACAGCTTGAAATTTTAATACAGTTCACAAAAAAAAGCAGTGTACAGTGTCTGCTTACTATTTTTTTCAATAAGAATGTTTCAGATTCTTTCTTAAAACTAATTTCATCACTAGTTATCACTGGGATGAGAGTCTGACATAGTTGTAGGTTAATAAGTTTCCAAATAAGAAAGTCCTATAATGGAAATACGCGACAACTATCGACATCTTTGTTAATGTAACGTGTAAAGCTGTCATTGCAATTTCAAGATGGCACGTCATAAGACCAGGAACGCTCGAGATAGGCATTCCTGCTCCCGACAACCGCATGAGGTTAACTGTTGTGTTGGATGTAGCAGACTTGGCTCATCGCCCAAAAAACGCCACCGAAACTGAGAGCCTCATTTGAGCTACTCGGAATAACTCGATGCTTCCCATTACCTGTCAATACGGTTCCAGAGCTCTAGAGTTGCCATGCACCTGAGCTACTCATTTGTAAAACCCGTACCCCCACATGCACCAGCCTTTTATTCGGTATTAGACGCTCCGAAATATGGGAATAACGAAAATGCCAATGTCATATTGTCTTGTTATGTTTTTTCATAGTTTTTGTTTTTTTGCATTAAACTCGATATAAACCGATACCAGACCATGGAGGATGGTAAAAAACTGATAATGTTATGACCCAAAGTCACAACGTACATATGTGAATAATAAAGCTATCAAGAGAGTGCAAGAATGCAGGTTCATAGCAGCTTGTAGTTGGCTTCATCTATAACTAGCCACTATCAAATAATTTTGAATGTCTACACTAAAATATGAATTCGACACATTTATCCAGAAACTTTGCAATGACGTGTTACGCCATCATTCTAAAAGCATCATCAGACATCAATTGGATAGTCTGATAATGCTTCTGATAATAAAGGCAGGTGCACACAACTCTCAATTGAAAAGCGCTGGGAAGAAGTTCTGATGCAGCAACACAGGTGCTGACTACTATGCAGGCTTGAACTTCTAGCGCTGTAACTACATTGTTCATGGATACAAAATTCGAGAAATAGTACATCAACACCTCAAGGGCACCATGTTATTGGATTCCAGTATGTCCAAATGTGCAGATGTTAAGACGTTAAGAGAAAAATGTTGTGTCCTATATTGTCCTATATTATTTGCTCAGAACATTGTGACTATACGTCAGCTAAGAATTCAGTTTCAATCAGTATTTGGTGAAAGTAGTTCTGACTTCCGCTTCTGAATTTCAGCACATTCACTATATTCGCAACAGTACAATACTAACACGAGAAGGTACTCTGATAGATGTCAAAACATGTTGAAGTATGGGGCGATAGGTTTGCAGCCATGTAAGATCGTGTTAGTAGTTAATAAAAACACTTTGTCAGCAAATCTGGGTCGTCAGTAAATTGGGCGGAATCCAAATGTGAAATTTAAACTTCTAAAAGGATTGACACCTCAAACGTGTTTTATATGAGCAGAAAGTGAGAGGTTAACTTTTCATGCTTCCTGTACGTTCAACGCGCCTACGTTGTATTAAAAATATTTCTTGTTACTGTTTTAAGAGACCATTGGGTCGCGAGTTTCATTTTTATGGGACATTCAAACGGCGTAATTTTTGCGAGTCATTACTGCCATTCAGGAAATCACATCGTGTGGGTTCAGTTTCCACGCAAAGCAACCAGTGCCTGGAAGATTATGCTTTCCTCTTATAAAACGAACAATGAAGACATAGTCAAAGAGGTCCAAGTCCTCACAATTTTGTTTGTCCTACAGATCGCCTGACAACGCTGCAATCATAATTGAGATCCCGTTACGATGAGTATACCTTGCCAGCGGCCAGCTGTTCGCAGTTCAACTTCCATTTCCGTTGCGCTCGACGCAGAGATTGGGAATATTTCCACTATTCTGTCATACGGCAAAATCCAAGCGAAGGGTATACTAAGGCCAAGCAATTGAGATAATTATGCTCTCTCCAACTCAAAATATGTTACGCTGAAAACAGTTTGCAAAGATGTGAAGGGATCTTGGCATCTTCGATAGAAGTTCAGTGACTTCAGTTGGTTTTTTGTCCTTTTTGCTCATAAATAATAAATTATGTCAGTGAAGCCACTCCTGTTATAACAATATGCTGGAGGTTAAGGCCAACTATGGTAGCAAAATCATCTACGCAGGAAATTAGCAGCTGCACGATGGTGATGGCAGATTGTACACATAAGAGTGACATAATTGTAACTGCGTGATCGTTTTCGTATGTAAATTTAAACTGTTAGATTAGAACATCATTTTTTCTCATTATTTAAATGTTACCACATAATATACTGTCTATTCGGTATGGAATCGTTGAGAAGGAACAAAAAAACTACACTGATGTCTGTTCCTATCTACCCTTTTTTCTCCGGAAAATGAGCTGCTTTTGACACTTAGGTATGACGCTAATAAGCAGGAAGTAAGCGATAAGTTCGACGGATGACAGCAGTATTTATGAGAAATGGCCACACATGTTTTTTATCTAACTTGAAACGCATTCGCATAAGGGAAGATACCCGTAGAGAACCAGCGGTCTCCTGCTTCATTATATCACATACCATTTGGATGGGTGCTACCCATTTAATTTTACAATTTACACTTCCTTTGATATTCTGTCTATTAACCATTGTGTAAATTTGAGAGACTTTCCACATAAAACTTTCCTCCATATGCGGATACGCAACCCCTGCCGTTAGATCTCAATCATTACTGAAGTATGTTTTTAGTGGTTTACATGAAGCAACTGATCAATAAGACGATCTTCTTCTAAATCCAATAACGTCTAGAGCATTGTATTCTGAAAAGAATAAAAACCTCTGCTCAAAGTTAAGAGTTGAGTGGCTAAACCTCGACCCTAAAGACCAACTATTATTGTTATTATTATTATTATAAATAAAAAAAGTGGACCACTAGTATAAAGCTTCTGTGCTTTTTTTAAAATATGAATGAAATTTGTGAGTTCCAATAAACTGAGTGATGCCTTTAAGTAAGGCGGTTTTATCAGCTTTTATCTAGTCCGAAACTGTATTTCTTTTCCAGTTGGCGTCACAGTTGATATGATAGTAAGCGTAGTAAGTATGATAAAAATGCAACGGATAATTAAAAAGTTGTGCGGGTATAACGAAATGGCCAGAGTCGATCTCGGCCATAAGAGGATACAGATTGCTTTACCTTAGGCTATTTATCTATAATCACATTAGTGACCTCCGGTTGAAATATTTCCGTCCCCCAATGAAACGCCCTGTATATTAGTTGACTCCTCCTTATCACTCACAGGATGTGCTTACCTATTGGCTAGACGCGATGGATGTAGATGGTGTGAGAATAGATGCTGTTCCACACTTGATAGAAGATAATGATCTGAGTGATGAACCTAAATCTGCCAACGCTGCAAACTATAAGCCTACTGACTTTGAATACTTAGAACATACTCGCACTGTGAACCAGAATGGATCTTTTGAACTTGTGTATGAGTGGAGATCACATTTAGATGAAATTTCCAAGAAAAAAATAGTACCAGGTAGGGTATTGTTGAGGCAGTACTTATATTTACATACAGGGTGTGGTGGTCAAGAGTGGATAACGTTTAACCTGCAGTTAGAGGACATCATAACGATTAAAAAAATTGAAAATTGTGTCTAGTAAAGGTTCCACAGTTTTCAATTTTTGTGACTTTTTCAAACTTGGAGGAAATGGGCACATCCACTCACAGTTTTAAATCTCGTGCTAACACAGAAGGTATTTTCTCATTCTGTTTTTTAACATAGAATTCTTGGATATACATGTCATAAAATATGAACTGCCATTTTTGTGCTACAGGTTTAATTGCTTTTTTAAAAATCATTAAATCTCGGAAAAAAATTATTTGAAGCCTGTATCAGAGCTCGTTGTGGTCATTTTGAGCACTTAGTGTAACTTCTAATAATATATGTTTATATCTAGAGAGTTTTCTGTTCTATTTTCTTATTTTAATGAATTCTTACACCTCAAAACTAGTTAGCATCTTGTGGTAAATTCTTATCCATCTGGTAGGTTTAAACTGCAACGTTACTAATACGTTTTGTAAACTTTGTAATAGACTTGAATATTTTGTGATCGTAATTTTGATACGCTCTTTTGTTATGCATCAATATCGTGTGATAAATCAGCAACAACAATGGACTTGAGTTCAACTTCTCTTTAGAAAAGTAGGGGTCTCAGCTACCTCAATAGGAGTATCCTTTGAATTGACAGCAGGAAATACGGTGTATTGTATCATTTTGCCATCTCAATGAATTAAGCAAATTATTCACGTCTTGTTTCACTTGATTACCGCGATATTATTGACAGCACACGTGGTCAAACTTAATCTATATTTAATGACACATGTATCCAAGAATACTTATGTTTAAAACAGTGAGTGAGGGAACCAGGTTCCTCCAAAAAATTTTTAGTTTCTTGAATCGTTATGATGTCCTCTAACTGCAGGTTACAGGTTATCCACTGTTTACGCCTCACCCTGGATACGCTTACGCTTATGTTTAGTCAATGGACTAAGCATATCATTGCTGTTACTTCTTATTTCCTTTGTATCGTTCTCAAGAATTCCATTTAACCAATATTGTTTTAATATTCATGAGGACGAAATGTGTGGAAATGTTCTTAGGCAAGATTGTCCATGGTCCCGTTTTTCAAATACTAATAATTTTATGAACCACAAGTTCTCGTCGTAATAGCGTTTTCTATATTAGACCAGAATATCTAAAAATTTTTATAAAAGAAATTGTAATAAGCTGTCTTATACATTAACGGTTAACCTTACAAAAAAAAACAAATGTCTGGAACAGTAAATTTCTACATTTGCTTTTTACTGGCACATCTAAAATATTTGTCAATTGTTGAAGCCTTCGTGGTGCTTAATATCCAGAAAAAAGTTCATTAAAAAATGCTTTGGAATAATCAAATGGCCTCATATTGGACTTATTTTCTTGCTAAAACTTAGTTTAATTTATTGTTAGAAAAGACACTAGATTTCTTTATATTGAAAAGCGTCGAGGTACATCTATTTTTGTCTTATAAACAATTAAAATGAGTTGTTTTCACAGCCGCAATTAAGTTGCTCACCACTGAAAAGCTGATGAAAGATTACAGACTAGGTCGAAAAAAAATCTTTTTCGGACCTTTGGGGGTCGAAATACCATTCTCAATAACGCCACCGAAACGTGAGCTATCAACATTAAGTCCTGTTTCCTTTAAAGTGAGAATTTTTCATCCGCTTTCCAGTAGTGGACATCCCATCTGCGACTGTCAAAAAACAACGGGCTTGTCACAGCAATCTATAAGGCGACGCTTTTTACGTATATAGGTAAATGATAGCTAGTGCCAGAGCCACAATTGTAGCACTCAGACACTAAGAACGCTAGCCCTGTCATTTTGATTTTACGTAGTAATGGTACGTGTCAAATTGGCAAGCTTAAGTTCAAAGTGATGAAATTGATGCATAAAAATGGCAGTTGAAAGTTTCATGTTGGAGGATTTAAGCTCTTATAACTCGAAAGTATAAGGCCCCTATCTTTCAAAATGATGGAGTGACGGGCTGTCAAAACTTAACGGCTTTGACATAACTCAACAACCAATGATAAAAGCGCCAATATGTTAAATCAGTATCCCTGTGTTAGAAGTATCATTCCGAATATGTGACAGAATATGGGACATTCCATTAAACAAATGACAAAACCATTTTTTAGCGTATCATCTTAATTCTATTGCACATTCAGAAATACCATTCCAAAATAAGGAGATTAATACTGTAGATGCTGATTAGATGTTGAGTCATAAGCTGCTCAATGTACCAAAATGTGTATTTTCAACAGCTAGCTGATCTTCCATTTTGAAACATAGTAACTTTTTTTGAGTTATAAAGCTCAGACGAGGAGCTTCAACATGTGGCATCACCTAACGCTCCATCCTGTTTGACAAAATATTCCAGGATGGCGCGCAGCCTCAATCTTGAAACTTTAATCACCACGAATTGTAGCTTGCTAGCTTTATCTTATCAAAGAAATAAGTGAAGTGAAGCGGAAATGATTGAAAAGCATTCTTGCCTACTTGACTACACTTTTAGGGTAATGATGACAGAGGCAGCTACTGATATTGACCAGGTTATTCGATATTATGGTGAAAACGACACGAATGGAGCACATTTTTCGTTTAACTTTTGGTTGGAGGATCTAACCGACAAAAATATCAATGCAGATAAGCTAGAAGGTATAATTTCCATATGGATGCAAAAATTGTCGGAGCATGGTTACACACCGAACTGGGTGGTAAGGAATACCGACATATAATAATTATTCTGCCTAAGTAATACTATTTCTCACTACTAACCTGATAAATCGAATTTATTAAGCGCATTCGTCCGAGGAGAACAATTCTGCCCTAGATCACTGAAAAAAATAATAAAGTGTAGCTCTTATAACTTAGGCAGTCTCCATAATATAGACTATTTATACGTATTATATTACTGAAATTGTTGTAAATTATATTGCTGCACTAGACTGATTTGTCAGCTTAAAAGTCGCAGGTTACTTGATTACGAGTACTTGCGATATGTGAAAACGACTGGGCAACAAATGATGTGTTGACGTTAGTACCATCTTCTGTCGGACAGTATCATGTAGCATCAACCGTCTTTATCTATGTACTGCTCATCTGAGCTCATAGTGTTGCCGGACATTAAGTAAATTATTCAGATAGCAATATTACAGAATCGACTCAGATAAAGTATGGTAACATATAACAAATAATTGCATGCTTCTTCACCAAGGTATATAATGTACTATTTATGTTACTTTTTAGTTAGGTAATCATGATAACCACAGGATAGCAACAAAAGTTGGAGTAAACATAGCAGATGGTCTTAACATGCTCACAGGTTTCTTGCCAGGTGTACAAGTGACGTATGCTGGAGAAGAAATAGGTTCGTACTATCCAACCACAGATACGACGTATTGTAAGCTGCTTAAGACTTGCTTGTGGAAAGTTCTACTATAGAAACGGTGATTTAAAGTGACGCCTGACGATGCTTCAATAAAAGCAATGAGTATTAATATTTGCTATTTAGGTGACGTTATTTTCACCACTGCGCATATCACTGACTTGGAATAGAGTTATTTTAGAGTAGGTAGGTTACGAGTAGAGTTTGAATAAAGTAGAAGTTGAGTCTGAACATCTTATTGCCATAAATTAATAAATCCGTAGTATGGAGTAATGGGAAGTTTATGATCAGAAGCCGAGCATTTTTGATAACTTGCGTATTTCGTACTTAAAATTGGAAATTTCGGTTCATGGATTGTCGAAAAGTAAAGCAAGTTTTAGGATTTACCATTTTTCTCCTGCAAAAGAATCAACAAACACGACTTCACTTGAAAAGGAATTTGATGCTGATGGTAATGCTTGTCGCGCAGCTCGATCTTCCATCCTCTACTATATCACAAAGACCTGAACGACCAGCGATGAGTCAGGGTTGCCATTTGTACTAATTTACATTCCATATCATGCAAGAGTTGTGAAGTATTAAAGGTAACATAGATACTGTATAAAAATAGTGCTATTTAGGCCCGTATCGTCAGTCGTCCCTACAATTGTAGGGCGCATTTATGGCTTCCTTGATTATCATCCTCATTTCTCTCCTTCAAAAATTTCTAGATTACACTTGTCCCGTGTCAGCGTCAGCGCTCTCCTATTGTGAAGATATGTTTTCTTTTTAAATTGTAGGAAACTTCGGGCTGATGAAACATGATATAACTCAAAAGCAAGCACAATTTGATGCAAATAGATGTTTGTGACATAACCTCAAAAGAGTTCTGACACGGAGAAGCAGAAAACTATGATAATCAAGGAGGCCATAAAGGCGCCCTACAATTGTAGGGACGACTGACGATACGGGCCTAAATATTAAATTATGACAGAATTTATCCAAGTACGTTACATAATCAAACGTACTCGTCTCAAAAAAATTTATTTGTAAAGAGCTATACATCGCTGGACATTTACTACTGCTGTGTCCACCCTTTGCCAAGTGGCAATACGAGCTGATTAGCGTGTCTCCACATTTTCAGGAATGGAAGATGGAGAAGTTGACTGCGAGCATGGCGATGACTTTCACGAAGATTGCAGTATGTATAAACGTATGTCCAGGGACTTCGAGAGGACTCCTTTCCAGTGGGATGACTCCACGACGGCCGGGTTTTCAACAAACAACGAAACATGGTTACCCGTCAGTCCTAAAAAGGACAAGTGCAATGTGAAAGCGCAACAAGATAGCGAACGTAGCCACCTCAAGACTTATATGAACATAGAGAAACTCAGGAAGCAGTTTGGAAAACTCTCTGATGATGTCTACACCTTCAAAATTGGAGATGATAATGCTGTGCTAGATTTGGTTAGGTATGTACAAACCTATGATAGTCAAATACCAAAAATGAGGAGAGTGCCACAACACATCGTACGCCACTGTTAACATGGTGATTCTGAGAACATTGCAGTAAAAGTCTTAAGCTGATCCCATACATAAAACAGAGTCCTATAGAGTTTAATATTTGGGCCTTGTAGTCCAGATACGTATTATAGTCGGAAAGTGTTTCAGATGTCTTCCAACTTCTTCGATACAGACGCACTTCAAAAAAATACTATTTTCCATGTACGATTATCAATGACGACGAAAACATCAGGGTCTACAGGTGGGGTCTTCGGTCCTGTAAATACGAGTAACTTTAATCTTAAGTTTGTCGCAACCTTGAAATTTGTGCATATAAATATTCCTACATATAAATATTACCAAGCACATAAGCTTTCTCCAATATTTTTCGATCCAGTCTGATACTTGATTGTTCTTTAAAAGCCCAAAGTCCGCAATGATGACCTTTTTGTTCAAAATTCACCCATTTTCGGATACTTAGCACTAGTTTGTATGTGTCCGTGTCGCAACACTTCACATCTACGAATAATATTAAAACATTCCCAAGCACAAACGTGTGAGGCAAATAATTGCATATAAAAAACTATTTCCGGGTTAACGCTAATGGTATCTAGGTCACATCTATAAAATACTCATAACTTTGACCCACAAAGTTGATTTCTTTAAATATTTGTTATTACATGTCTGGATAGGCCCTTCTAATAGAACAATATTGCTTATTATAGCTTTTGAGCTATTGGCTGTTTTATCTAAAACATACTGCTAAAGTTGGACAGCCTGCACGCTGGAATCTTGACAGGTGGAGTAGTGAATTCTCCGTCAAGACGTTCTCATTATCTTGAGTTTCAATCTTTTCTATCATATTTGCACACCCTATCCAATTTAACTTTTTTGCATTCCACCTTTTACAAGTTTTCCTGATATAAAGCTCAACAGAGTTGATTTATGAACTTTTTGAGTTATTTCAAAATCTGTATATACGAGTATATATAACAAAAAGTAGGAAAATAATGGGCAAAATCCGCAAAAAGGAGGAAAGAGGATTCGAGCAGAAAATAGGATAGGTAACCTGAGTTATACTTATTTCTGCTGGTTGGCTTCATCAGGCCCGAAATCAATGCACATATGAAACTACAAAAGTAGATACACATGCCCACACTTCCGGATACGGGTGTAACCTGAAGAAACGAAGATGGAGAGGGGAAAAACGACACACGAAGTCCACAACAAGAGCCAACCTGTATTATAAAATGGCTAGAAGACCTCGAATTTTCAAGGAGACATCTAACCACAACCACGCGACCGGTTGTAGCCACTTGCTGTGGTACTTCATATTTAGCGGTTTTATTGCACCATCTTGAAAATTCCTTGCCCAACTTTAGTGTTGAAAAATTTAATATATGACTGTTTTAGAGTTAACAGTAGGTCCATACCCTTATCGATAGAATAATTTGATGAAAAAAAAAATCAATAAGATTTTTATCCCTATTTTCCGCAGATAAAAAATCTACTTGATAACCCTTTCCGCACATTTTTATCAATTAATTTGTCTACTTATAATTTCCTTTAGAACTTCATACGGTACTCGCTAGATTGTCTGGATTATAAGTTTTAACTCTTTCCTTGACAATGTAACAAAGGATCAAGTTTCTCTAAAAAAACTATTTTAAATGCTTTGTCGATTGATCCGTTATTCTTGTTCAATACCAATCAATCAATACCAGATATTTCTTAGAGTACTTATATAACTTTATTTGACAGGTACGTTGAGAACGATGTAAAGAATGTAGGCCTGTGTGCCTATCACTTCCTTTTCAACTTGAAAAATGGGTACAACAGCTTCGATTTCACCGACAGTGTTAAGGAGAAGAGATATGTAGTTCTGGCGACAAGCAGTAATGGCACACACGCTGTTGGGTGAGTACGCAACTGACGGGACCCATGGTCAACATACTTCACCAGAAAGTGTCCAATCCAATAAAAAAAAATATACGTACAGTGGCGTCGCGCCGCCAACCACCTAAGCTTAAGGCCGATTTATAAACTAAGTGCCATACCGTTGCCGAAATGCAGAACTTCAATCATGCGTTTGACGTGCTACTGTTTATAAACAGGAATCCCACAACGTTTGTCGGCAACGCTGACGCTAAACTTGACTTGACTCACATGTTTGTTTTGCTTTTGTAACCGGCGTGGCTTTCTTTGAGAATAATATGAATTATTAAGAGATGTTTGTTACAAGTGATGAAGACACTGCACCTGATCTGTAGATAAGTTTGGTTTTCAAATACGTGAACAAGAATGCAATTATATGTAACGTTATGCGACACGAACCATAGCGTCAGCAAGTCGTAAAAGATGAGAAACGCATTGTGATAGTTTCTACTTAGCAGTCAAGATGCAGCTCATTTGCGATTTAAAATCTGGTCCTGAGTGCCACAGTCTGTCAAATGCGAACTGGAGTACAGTTCCAAAAGACAGCTTGCTATTTTCAACCTCGCAGTGGTCAATTCTGGTAATAGATAAGGATTTTTCCATAAAATGGTATTTTCTGTTAATGCATGTGAAACAAAAGCAGGGACACCGTACGAGATGTATCGGTTGCTTTTCAGTAATAATGGGTGATTTTTTTGCTAGTATCTTTTTGGCAACACTGTTTTTGACAGATGACGCGTGAATCGTGTATTGTGTAATTGTCAAACTTGTTCAGTTTGGTCTATAATTTAACCATGAATCGACTTACGAACGAACAACGCTTGCAAATTATTGAATTTTACTATCAAAATTCATGCTCGGTTAAGAGAGTGCATCGAGCACTGCTTCCAATTTATGGGCAATTTGGTCGGTCTACTGAGGAAACTATTCGGAAGCCTGTGACTAAATTTCGAACCCAGATTACATTATTGGACATTAAACCACCAACACGCAGACGTAGAGTGAGGACTGAAGAAAATATTGCGGCTGTATCCGCCAGTGTTAGTGATGACCGTGAAATGTCGATTCGCCACCGTTCGCAGTAATTGGGCCTCTGTTACTCCACTACGTGGAAAATTTTGCGACAGGATTTGGGTGTAAAACCTTATAAGATACAGCTGGTGAATGAATTGAAGCCACACGACCTCCCACAACGTTTCCAATTTGGTGAATGGGCGCTGGCAAAGTTGGAGGAAGATCCACATTTTTATCGAAAAATTGTGTTCAGCGACGAAGCTCATTTCTGGTTGAATGGGTACGTTAACAAGCAAAATTGCCGCATCTGGAGTGAAGACCAGCCAGAAGCATTGCAAGAGCTACCAATGCATCCCGAAAAAAACACTGTTTGGTGTGGATTATGGGCCGGTGGTATCATCGGGCCGTACTTCTTCAAAGACGACAATGGCCGGAACGTAACTGTGAATGGCGAGCGCTACCGTGCGATGATAACAAACTTTTTTTTGCTCAAAATGGCAGAGTTGGACTTGGCTGACATGTGGTTTCAACAAGACGGTGCCACATGCCACACCGCACACGAAACAATCGCCCTGTTGGGAGGCGAGTTCGGTGAACAGTTTATCTCACGTTTGGGGCCCGTCAATTGGCCGCCTAGATCGTGTGATTTAACGCCGTTGGACTATTTCTTGTGGGGCCATGTTAAGGCTAATGTCTACAGGGATAAACCAGCAAAAATTGACGCACTGGAAGCCAATATTGAAGCATTTATTCGTGAGATACGGGCCGATATTTTGGAGAGAGTGTCCCAAAATTGGACCTTGCGCATGGGCCATCTAAAGCGGAGCCGCGGCCAACATTTACATGGAATAATCTTTAAACATTAAATTATATCGACCGTTCTATCGACTCAAATAAAGATTTAATCGTTTTTTCAAATTTTTTGTGTTTTTTTTTTGAAAATCAAATCCTATACCTCTTAAAAAATCACCCGTTAGTACACGATGCACCTCTCATTGCAAACATTTGTAATCCTTTTTTTTTCAGTGACATAATCGAAGATTCTCACCTAGGACTAGATCCATTTGAAGCTGTGATCCTGAAGACTAACAAGGCAACTGCTCTGGTCGGAGGAATTCTAATGCCTTTAGCAGTGATGGTTCATTTTTATAGACTCGTTCAAGCATTTTGATTATTGATACTAAAATATTCAGATAACTACACCGGGGTAGGGCTTAATGTCTGTATCGCATTGATATAAATAGACACTAATATAAACACTTCCATTAGATTATAGTATGTTACAAATTGTAGGCGATGGTCAAGAAAATAAATTGATGGCACTGGACTTTTTGAGATTACCTGTATTTTTGTTCCATACAGATGTAACATAATCATACGTAACAAATAACGTAACATAAATTACAGTCGATCCGCTTAACGTTGCCAACCCTAGAGGTAGTTTTTGGACTCAGGGGTGAACTCTAGGGGTGTAGGGATCTTTTCGACCAAAAATTCGGACTCACAATCGTAAAAACACATGGGAATAACATGCTCCAGAGTCTAGCTTCGAAACTCAGTTTTCACCACTCTGAGGTGGTATTCGCTGAGGAATTAGTTGTGTACGCAACAGGATTTTTTAGGAATTACGGTGAATTAACAGAAATTGCATTGAATTATGAGGAATTACGCGAATCATGCGAGGCATTTAAGGCATGTTTAAGTCTCTTCAGTGATAACGACATGAAAATACACCAAAGTGTGGGTTCACAGGGTATCCGGCTATGAGTAGACCCCCCTCTATCTTTTTTAATGGTCTTCTAGATGAAAAAGTTGTATACAAAGGTTACAAAGTTCTTCAGGTAATATTTTTTCTGTATACCGGGTGTATCAGAAAAGCGCTACCTAATAAAATGGTATTTTTTTAAGAGGCGTACCCAGTCATCAGTGAGAATGATGGTCCTTACTTGGTTACATATGAGTAACTGAGACAAAAACTTCAGGTTTTTGGCCAAATGAAAATAAGTATGAGAAAAAAATGTTATATTTATTCGATAGGACTGTTCCGAGAAATTTCCGAAAAATATTAAATGTGATAAATTTCGTATTAGACTCTACAACCTTTATAAACAGCTGCTTTCTTCAGGTAGGACATATAAAAAAGTTCGAACATTTCCTAACAGCGACATTTTTCGTAGAATTAAGCACCGCATCTAAAAATGTGGTAGATGTTTCACAAAAGCCAGTGGAGTAGAAAATATATTTCTTTTTATGTAGAGGGCCAAATATCCAGCTGCTGTGCCACTGGTGTAGTTAGGACCAATTCCACCATTGACTGTCAGGAATCAAAATTTGACCCTCGGCTAATTCGGCTAATCGATAGTCGTTTTAGAAGTCAAGGATCTAGTCAATATAGTATATACGATAAGCCTACAATCCCCATATCAAATGAAGAAATTTTACGTGAATCACCAGGTTTAGTTACAAAAAACTATTTTTCCATTTGCAATAGGAGCAAAATTTGCTTTTGCAAAACACATTCGACAAGCCAGAAACAAGAATCATATAAATATGAATAATAGAATCAAATTTAATACCAAATTAATTATCTGAGAAACTTTAAGAGAAAGATACATGGGTTAACCGAATTTTTCTGTTTTCAAGTTCAGTCAAATTAGATCGTTCTTGTCGATACGGCACACATGAGTAGATCTACAAAATGCTTATTTTTTTAACAAACTGTCTAATTATTCAAATTAGTTTACTACTATGCGTTATGATGCTTATTTTCTGTTAATGTGCTGAATACCTGTACGCATCTAATTTTCCTGGTTCATAATGGTCGCACGATCCCGCTATTTATTTTCAACAGATGGCGCTGTCACTGTTGTACTTTAGATTATGCCACCACACATAAATACAACAGCCCTCTCAGCTTCATAGTGTAGGACAAAATAATGATGAATATAAATGGTATAGGATCAACATCAAGACGAATTTTTAAAATACACCTTGTATCTCGCAAACTATCAGCTTTTGGACAAAGGTACGTTTAGCTCAGTTCACATATTTTGGTCTGTTGTATCTCCAGCTTCGAGATCTCCCAACCTTTCGTAGATTGTCAATGGAAACAAAACTGTTTCTACAGAAATGATATTTTCTTTGACCGTAATAGCAGTAACTGATCTCTTAAAAAATGGACTATTATATTTGTTTTCTCGTCACGTAAATTATGTATCATATTATTAATTACGTATATCTAGAAATCTTTTTTCAACGAACCCACAAAGTTGAATTTGCATCCAGGGACTGCGACAACTGTTTGTCTCAAAAACCACGGATACAGAGCGCAACCAACACCTTATAGCGCTTAAAAACAGGTCAATTACAAATAAAATACAGTAAGGGTGGTCAGGCCTAGTGCCGAACAGGTATACTGATAGGACAACCACAACGTTGCCAAGTTTAGTATGTCATGGTTTGTTAGGCGGCTATGGCTTTGGTAAAGAAGGAAACGGGATGCCAGGTCGCTCAAACAGGTTGACTGCCAATAAAAATCGTAGTAAATGTCTCTGGTGCTAGCTTCAAAAAAGTGAAGCTTCTTGTATCAGATGATATACTGAATAATTACTTTTATTTATATGTTTTTATTAGCATACATATTGGCAAAAATAAGTCAGCGACATAACTGAAATTATCATTCCCTAAGTGCCAAGCGGTCGACCTAGCGGTCGTCTTTTGCGGGTCAGAAATGTCATGAAATAAAAATGCTTTTCAATTAGGCTAGTTTGTTTTTTTTGTCTATCGTAGCGTTCAGAGGAATTCGAGATAACAGAGTTCCGGGAGAAACTGGTATTATCACTTCCGAATTACGATAACACCAATCTACCGGAATCCCGACCACATCATACCTCAATAGCCTCAAAAAGACATAATTCTATATCGAAGAAAATGGGCGCATCCGATAAAGTTAAAGAAAAAGGAGGGTGAAAAAAGTCGTTACCTAATGTGCATCATACGAAGGGGAACCTCACTTTTGTTTAGAGTTTCCACCTAAACTTATTCAAATAATATTCAGTCGCTTTATGTAAATCGAGATATTCAATAGCCTTGTTTTGTACTAAATTCCCCGGGGTTCCACCTAGCATATGTTATATATATATATATATACAGGGTGACTTGAAGTTGAGTCATTAATTTTCAGATAATGATTGTAGAAGGAAGATAAACCAAAATATGTGTGTAAAAATAAAAAAAAAATAAAAAAAAACTTTTACCTTGTTTTATAAAGTATCCTCCCGACAAGTATTTCAGTGCGGACCTGTATTTGATCGTGAGGTCCCCTGTGAGGTCTTAAGTCACCTGATTCACAAGCCCGTTGTACTACATTAACAAAGGCACGAGGGTTGGTTGCACTCGATTGGGAAACCGATCCGCATAAACATGTGCCATTTTTTATTTCGTTTGAGCCACGCAACACATACCACTATTCACTGACACTAACTGTATACAAATGAATGAGATACCTGTAAAAACATCGTTCCAAATTCTTTCGCTTTTTGTTTCCGATGCGATGAACCGATACGGCGGATTATATCCATTGTCGCCAAACACGACCACATAATATTGTTATTGAGACAGGGCGGTACTCAAACTTCCAAAGGGCTATAACTTTGTTACTTTAATTTTACCAGGAAAATGGTAAAGGAAAAAAACATTTCTTTTGATCAGATCTACTCACTGTTAAAATAAATGACTCAACTTCGAAGTCACCCTGTATATACTATATATATTGTTCAATAAAAGTTAAAAAACGACTTCACTCATATTTTTCACTTACCCTTGTAAGCTACACCGAAAACCGCCAACTTAAGCTAGGCATGCATGTCATAGCGGTCTTTGACCATAATAATTATATGCCTATCAACGACCGCTGGCACAACATAAATGAATTTTGAAGGCAAGGGTGGAGCCGTCGCCCATAGCATGGTGGGATTATTTGCAGGCGGTCGTATGCGACCGCCATGGCATTCAACTAGTTAAGTATATATATACGAGTCTACTCCAGCTAGATAGTACCGAGGCAGTTCCGAGCTAGCAACCGTCGCGAGTGTACACTTGTGCGACTGCGACCCACGCGGACTTACTTTGCGATCTTATGGCGATTTTCATCGCGATACGATTGCTATCTACGATGGCGAGAATCGAAAAGCTGACAAGCCAGCTAAAGTAGAAGGAAGATGATTTCGCCATGCTTGCGGAGCAGATGAAAAATCTGCAAGAAGCTTTCAAGCAGGCAAGGTAGGAGATAGAGGAAGTGAAGGGGAAGCTCCTCAAGGCGAAGAGGAAGGCAATGAAGACCCCAACCGAAGAAGACGAGGACCAGAAGACCACATCGGACAATGAGATGGATGCCCAAGAAGTGGACAGCCAGCAACTGGACCACACAGAAGAAGAGAAGAGGACAGCCGACAAGAGCGACACGGACTACAGTGTCGTCACCAGGCGGAAGAAAAGAGTGAGGGTTTCCTCCTCCTCCTCCTCCGACGATGCACCCAGGCAGCCAAAGAAGCCAGCTGCCACCCAGAAGAAGAGTCCTAGAGCAGCAGGACCATCGAGGCCCCCATGGCAGGAACAGGAGTTCCTCCAACCAACATCGAGGGCACCGCTGATTGGTCATCCTTAAGCAGGATGATCAACAATAAGAGAATCCAATTCTCTAACGCGAGGACTGCAGGGAACAGTGTGAAGGTGTTTACCAACACACCGGCAGACTACCGTCAGCTAGTAGCCCTGCTAGACTCAATGAAGAGGTCCTTCTTCACTTACCAACTGAAGGAGGAAAGGATGGACCAGAGGGTAATTCGAGGACTACCTAGGGAGATGTCAATTGATGACATCAAAGAGGATCTAGGAGCCAAGGTATCCTAGACGCCGAGGTTCAACAGATGAAGACCAGGAACACCAAGCAGCCGCTACCGCTCTTCCTCGTGAAAACGAGGATGGCGAAAAAGCTGCAGGAGGTCCAGAAGCTAGCCATGCTCACGGTTAGCTTAGAGAAGAAAAAGAGATCGACCGAGCCCAGCCAATGCTACCGCTGCCAGCGGTATGGACACACGGAGCGAAACTGCCATCTCGCTGAACGGTGCGTCAAGTGTGGTGAGGGCCTCAGCAGCACCAACTGCAGTCTGCCGACGCCGCCAACAGGACAACGAAATGCCAAGTGCTGCCTTTGCGGAGAAGGACACCCAGCAAACTACAACGGATGTAGTAAGGCCCCGAGGAAAGCTGCTGCTGCCCCAAAGCAGCCTCCACCTCAAATAGGACATCTTACGCTGAAAAAGCGAAGAAATCTAAGTCTACTTCTGCCCCAGCAGCCGCCACTGCTACTGGAACTACTGCGCAGAAGCAACACGGCGATGACAGACTGCTAGCTATGATGCAAGCCATCATAACTCGCCTGGATGCACTCGAGGCCAAGATGCAAGACAAGCATTAGACTAGCAATGACTACAGGGAAAAACGCAGAATCTCTACGCATAATCTCCTGGAATATCAACGGATTCAGGACACGGAAATCAGAAATCCAGGAGATACTAGACCAGTACCAACCAGAGGTGATGGCCATCCAAGAAACGAAATTGGACACTGCCCATAGTCTGACGTTCCCGTGGTACGAGACGTACCGCTACGACAGATGAGTCCGAGGTGGAGGAGTCGCACTACTCGTCAAACGTACTCTGACGAGTCATGTCCTCGACGATGCCGCAGACATCAATGGGGACGGAATCATGGTCCAGGTCCATCACAACCACCGTCCCTACAGAATCACCTCCCTATATGTGCCACCAGGGGAGGCCCTAGACGAAGATGACATCGCTGACCTCCCGAGAGGCCCAAGAGCACGCATAGTCATCGGAGATCTAAACTGCAAGTCTCCGTTATGGAACAACAACGTCGAAGACAGGAATGCAAGGCAGCTCCAAGAACACGTCGATGCCCTGGCGGGGGTCATCCTCCGCAACATCAGAGAGGAGTTCGAGATAGAGACTCTGGTGGAAGGATCGTCGGACCACAATCCGATCCTACTAACACTTGGCACAGGGTCTACAACTCGAGATAGCTTGAGCACCAAACGGACGAACTGGAACCAACGTCCAAAGGAATATCACTCAAATTCCAACCATCCGATCAGCGGAGGAACTGGACAATGCAGTAGAGGAGCTGGAGAATGCTGTCCTGCGAGCGCACGAGGACAGCACCCACTCCGAGACTACGGCAGTTCCTAGACACCTAAATGGCCAGCACCGCACCATATTAGGCACCTGATCGATGCAAACATGTGCCAACTGATCCAGAGCTATCTAACACAAAGATGGTTCACGGTGAAGATTGGTACATGCCACTCAACAAGATGACAGCTGGAAGCAGGCATGCCCCAGGGGTCAGCCTTAGCCCCCCCCCTACAACATCTACACTCAAGACGTACCGAAGACAGCTGACACAATGCTGGCCCTATATGCAGACGACACTGCTATAGCCGCCAAGCATCGACGACCCGAGATCATCCGTAGGATACCACAGGATGAACTGGACCACATCCAGGACTGGTGCGTGAAATGGAAAATCCGCATCAACGTCGAGAAGACGCAGGCAATCTTCATCCAACGAAGAAGGATTGCATGACCTCTCGAAGCAAACATCTTCGACGAAGATATCCAGTGGAGCGACAGAGCCAAATATCTGGGGATCGTATTTGACTAGTCCCTCACCTGGAAAGACCACATAGAAGCTGTCATCGCAAAGACCAGAGCAGCCATGGCCCAACTCTACCCATTACTGGGTAGACCTCAGCTCGCTTACGCCTCCGCGGTCTGGGGGTACGCTGCTCCCAGCTACCGCAAGCGACTTGCTGCTCTAGAGATGAAGCTACTCCGGATCGCCATCAGTGCACCATCCTACGTAAGAAACTCAACCTTGCGTAGAGACCTGCATTGGGACACCATTCACGAGTACATGAGGAAAAAAGCGGAGAAGACCTTCCAGAAAGCTCAGGACCACCCAAACGAGCAGCTACGACTCCTCATGGACTACGATTCGGACGAGAAGCCTCGCAACCGTAGAGCCAGGTACCCTAGACCAAGGTCCCAGTTGGCACCCGCTAACTGGAACCTTGACTAGGAGACTAGGAGAACCCGCGGTTGCTCCCCCCCCCCCCCCCCACGGCCTTGAGCAGAGGACGAGGACCAGGACGACCACGACCAGATCCCATCAGGACCAGGAACCACCAGGACCACGACCCATCAGGACCAGGACCAGGACCAACCAGAACCAGGACCCATCAGCACCAGGTAACATACTAGTAGTAGAGGACTTGAAACTCTTGATTTTTCGAAAACAAGAGTTTCAAGAGAACATAGCAAACCTATATCGATGCTCGCTTAACGACATCGATAGAACTATGCGAGGTAAAGGGAACCAACCCGGCGTTCCCAGAGACTGAAACACATGAGGAGACGTTGTAGCAGACCGCAGGTCACGCACAACACATGGCCTACCGAGACGCTGATGAGTCGGGCCAGGCGGAGGTTATTGTTTAGTGGATATTAGGTGGTCTCCTCAAGACAACCTGGAGTCCCACACACGCCGTAGCTCGGGCTATGGTATGGTGTATGCACGCATTCCCCCCTCACCAAAAAAACAAAAAAAAACAAAGTACCGAGGCAGTATCACTGCCTCTCACGCCTTCTTCCTGTGATGATCGAGCTGTTTAGTAACACGGAGGTAATACACTGTATGCGATAAGACCTACAAAACGGTAGTATACTAGCTATTATATTATATATTAATTTCTGTTTTATATACATTATGATACATTCAATTTTTATACTGGTTTATTTCATAAATGCACAGTTCTCTATATTATTTCATTTTATTGAATCGAGCAGCCTCGGTGGTGGTTAATGAGGCTAAATTTAGAGAGCGGATATATAGTATATTTCAAATTAATGTTTGAGAAAGTTAATCGATCAACAAGGTAAATTTATTTCGTACACACAATTTTGTATATTTTTAATATTCATCACTGACTATGCCGTAAAGTGTAACTTATTAAAAGGCTTAACAAATAGCAGGCGACCCACACTAGAAAAGTTAATGGAGTTACTTTACGGCTAGTCCGTCTTTGCCAATCACAACAGGTTCACTGTTTTGGATGGACACTATCGAATGTTGTTCTAATTATCTACAATGCTATCAATAATTCGTTAGATTAGACAGTGTAGTCAGAAAATTATTTATTTAACAGAAGTAATACTTCCAGTAGCATATGTAGTATCTGAATTTCTACAAGACAGTGTCTTCCTTTGATCTTGGTGTCACCAACTATCTGACAAATGTCAGCACAAGCACATGTATGTTCTCTCAAAACTGTTTGAAGAAGAAAAAAATGGGAATAGTATTCGCTCCCTAAATATTTTAAAGATCGGGACGACGAAAATTTAACCCGGGCGGTCAAATCTTAAATATCAAGGCGATCATGATATGATATGTTACATTGAGCAATATCCTATTTACTCCACATGACCTCTTGAAGAAAACATCTCTGAAACACACAGCACACATGTTTTTATTGCGTGATACGAGTATACTAAACCCAACGTACTCGTTGTTTGCTAGGCGTTCGTCTTTGTGTGAATGATCGTAGTCCTCTTTGTATTAGTTTGATGAAAATTAAAAAAAATTCTCCTAGGTACATAGTTTATCTCTATCTTACATACATGCATGTATATAATTTTAAGATATAATATAATAGAATTTAAAAGAATATCACCTCCAGAAAGCTTTTTCAAAGAAAGTGAGCAGATACATGTTCCTGCTTTATAACACTCTTTTGTATCCATTTTTGTTTTTTTGCGGATCAAGATAATAGTCTCCCGAGAACGAGCCGAATATGAATGAATTGGAGACATCGTGCATCACACGGTGGAAGAGGGATATCCCTCAGCATGACAGTTATCCAGTCGTACGAGGCATTCCTGCTAAATCAACATGTTCATACATGTTTGTACGGTATCCTGAGCACCAAAGAAGCTGACAAGAGGATTAATATATCCCGTCCTGGACAGCACAATTTAACTACCAAGTAAAGGGGATTCTGCGTAATTACTCGAGCTTGTTCCTAAGCCTCCCAATTAACTTCCATGGAAGCAATAAAAGTTGGCTGTTGAGCTACAACATTGCCGAATAGAGTATTTTTAGCGGATGTGGAAGTTAATCTAGAATATGTTTTAATCCAGCAGTATTCGATAATATAGTTGTGTCGACAGCGACCAATTTTGGAAATCAGAGTAAAGAATCCAAGGTTCGGGATTTTTTTTATTATGAACGACACGCATATTGTGTTCCTTTACTATACCAACAAAATTAGAAGAACAAGTAGGTCATATTATTTTTCTGACATCAGCAAGTCTGCAGTACATGGTTAGTTTACATAATGACCATAGTGCAAAATCAAAATATCCTTTTTTTTATACTCCAACTACCGCGAAGGCCTACACACCCATGGGTACCGTGGGGCTATAGGGAAAAGGAGGGGGGGACAGCACACGGACTCTAGCGACAGAACACGTGTGCATGCAGCATGCACACATTCTGGCCCCGCCTTCGAGATCCGCCAAGTAGTACCTCCGCGTTCGACAGTCGGAGACCGTGTACCACATGACTGAGTCAAATCACAAAGCGCCTGTTTATGCTTCCCAGTCCAAGCATCTATCTATCTTTAGGGTAGGTATAGCAGGTAAAGACGGTCGTACCATCCAGAGCGGCAATCAGGGTAACAGAATATGATAAATTAATGGAAATACTTTATTTGTGGGGGTTTTTGTTTCTTTACAGACAAATGGCTTGACGTTTTTTTTATACAAAACTAT